CCCCCGAGCCCCCCGGCCGAGCGGTGCGGCGGATGGCGGCTCAGCGCAGGGCCAAGCTATTGAGCAAACGGGGGAACGTCCCGGAGGAAGGGCCGGCCTGCGTCGCAGGAAGAGCCAGGCCAAGCTGGGACCCAAACCAACAAAAGCTGAAGCACGTTCCCAGAAGTGCGGGGATCGGGCTCCATGCCCGGCCCGGCGGCCTCCGGTCAGGAACTCCCCGTGCTTTTCCCCCTCCGGCCCCGGCCTGGCTGCCAGCTCCAGCCGGGCTGAAGAGGGGTGAGATCCGGAGCCGGCTGTCAGCCCAGGGGGGGGGGTAGAGGAGGGGGGACATGGGCCTGGCTGCAGGAGGGGGAGCCGCTCCCCTGCCTGCCCCGGCAAGGGAACACCCCTCTGCTGCTCTACATGCCAGTGACCGGGTGGCAAACCCATGGGCCTTTTGCTGGCTTAACTGATGGTACCTGGCAGCAACTGGCTTTACCTGCCCCCAGGTAGGTCCCCCCAGAAGCCTACACAGTGACACCCCCTCCAGCCCCACAGCCGTGGCTCGTTGGACAAAGAAAGGGGCCTGAATCTGTCCCATGCCTGGACTTGCCCTGAAGACCTCATGGCTGGGGCCCCCCCCCGAGAGGAAACGTTTGGCTGGAGAGGTTTGGCCCTCCGAAGCCCCTTCCCCCTCAGCTGGGGCTCAGCGTGCTCTGTGAAAGCCAGTTACGTCCCAGAGCAGCCCCGCGAGGGAGTCATGGGAACCGCTTACAGAGGGGGAAACTGAGGCACGTAGCCGCAGAGCTGGAGGTAAAACCCAGGGCTATGTCTACACTGGCGCGATCTTGTGGCAGAAATATGCAAATGAGGCTAAGCGTGGAATATCGCTGAGCCTCATTTGCATACCTAATAAGCCGCCATTTTGCGGAAGAGCCTCTTGGGCCAGAAGGAGCATCTACACGGCCCCTTCTTGCGCAAGAAAAACCCTCTTGTGCAATGCCGTTATTCTGGAAAATAATCGCACCAGTGTAGACAGAGCCCAGGAGTCTTTTGACGCCTGTGCCTCTCTACCTGCTAGGCCTCACTGTCCCTCCCCAAGCCAGGCCCAGAGTCCTGCTCCCCAGCGCCACACGATACTACCAGCGTGGCAGGAGGACACCGAGCGAGGGGCACAGCGACTCCCGTTGACTGCGTTAGCCCTGCCGCGCGGCTGGGTCGCTTCGGGCCGCCAGCGGGAGGTTCATTTCGAGACCCGCAGGACAGCAGAGCTGGCAGCCAGCGGGCTGTCGCCGGGCCATGATTTACGGCGGGACTTTATCGCCCCGTGCGAGCGTGTACTCGGCGTTTCCTCGCTGGGCTGACTTGCAAACACCTTGGGGAAGGCCTTGCATCCGCCTCGGGCTTAGATTCCATCCAGCCGCCGTGGCCACCGGAATCGCTCGCTTCCCTCGGCCACCGCAAGGCTCCAGCACAGAGCAGGACTCACGGGTAATTATGGATCCAACTGCCCTTTGGAATCGGGGAGCAGGATTTGGGGGGGTAAAAGGACCCCCCCCAGCGGTGGTATTGGAGCAGGACATGCCGGGGGGGGGCATTAAAATGAACCAATGGTTTCATGAGGGGAGAACCACCCCCCTCTTTGAACCCCCGTAACATGGTGCAGGGACAAGGCCAGCATGGGCTGCGAGGGGACAGCCCCCCCTTCCTAACCCCCCCCTTCTTTCCCACCTACAGGCTCATGGGACTGAACCCCAATTAGCAGATAAGGTTGCAGGGAGCAGAAACGGTTCTCCCCCCCGTCTCCCCGACATTGATTGGCTCCGGTTGCACAAGGCCACAGGGTAGGCGCTTGCCAGAGCGGGGGCCTGTAGGTGCCCCCCCCAGCTGAGACAAACAATTGTCCCCTTGTGGAGGCGGCGGGGACCCCCCGATCCTGCACCCCCGTCTGCAGCAAGACGAGACTCCGCCAGGCAGTAGAATAAAGGGGGTTTAGTGCTTCTCCAGGACACAGCTCAGCACGGACGTGATGTGGTTACAGGAGTCAGGGCCGGGCAGCCTCAGACCCCTTGGGTTAGGGGACCACAAGCCCCCGAGCCCTCAGTACTCAGCTGAGTCTCCTCTCTTCATGTTTTCCCAGCACTGTCCAGCTCCCAGTCCCTGCCCCCCAGCCAGGTGGCCGTCTCCAGCTTCCTTCCTGTGTCTCTTCCCTCCCCTCCACCCCCCCAGAGCCTGCTCTGCTCCAGCTCCGTCTCCAGCTTCCTTCCTGTGTCTCTTCCCTCCCCCCCACCCCCCAAGAGCCTTGTTATCTGCTCCAGCTGGACCTAGGTGTCTGGGCCATACCCATGTGGGTGGGTCACTGGGAATCACATCACAACGCAGGCGAACCCCGGATGACAGAGCAGACAGCCCCCCCACTACGTCACAGCCCTCACTTGCAGCATTCGGAAACCATGACCCCCCCCCTCCTTCCTCGCTCTAGGTGCAGCTACACCCTCCCCTGGGGAGGCAGCACGGCTGGCCTAGCAGAGCCTGGGGGTAGCACCCAAGGGTGCTGGCTACCAGCAGCCCCGTTGCCCCCTGGGAAACTCAGCTGCGTGGCTGCAGCCGCGTGCACCGGGGCTGGAGCTATCGGGAGCAGAGCGCACGTCAGAGCCGCGTCCAGGCTGCTGTGGCTGGCACCAGGCAGGGCCCTGCCCGCGGCCAGCGGGTGCACAAAGGGGGCGTAGCGCCAGGCAGACGCGCCCTCCCCTCTGCAGGAGGAGGGAACAGACAATCAGGCCTCCGCCGCGGTTTGCCAGCTCTGCCGCTGCTGGGTCTGGCACCCAGCTGCTGCCAGGCCCCAGGGCAGCCGCCCTGCAGGGGATGGGCCCAGAGGGAGGGGGGGAAGACGACTTGGCTCTGGGTTCTGCCCCCGCCGCACTTCATGGAAGAGCAGGGGAAAAGCTCGGTACTGGCAGGAGAGTCAGGAAATCCTCTATAAATAACCCGTCAAAACAAGGGCTTCCTCAGCAGGAGGCCGGGAGCCCCACGGTAACGAGCCCCAGGGGAGGGCCCGGGGCCAAGGAGGCAGAGGAGCCAAAGGCCAGGGACGGGAAACTGAGCCCAGCTGCCAAGGCGGGAGGGGGCACAGCCCCTAGAAAGGGCTTGCAGGAAGCAGGCTGCGTCACGGAGCAGGGGCCCAGCCCCCCACGCTCAGCTCCGACCCCGCCCCAGTGGGTCGGGGAGACAGGAATCCTGGCTTCCCTTCCTAGCCGGGACAGGGGGGAGAAGAGGGGAATTCCAGGAGACAATTCCAGGAGACACACCCCCTGCCACCAGAGAGTGGGTGCACCTTTGCTGGCTGGATGCTGAACTGCTCAGTCGTGTGTCATAGGCCCCACACAGCTAACAGGGATTCTCCTTCAGCCCCAGCGCTCACAGCACAGAGGCCTGGGGCAGCTGCTTTTGCCCAGCCTGCCTGGAGAGACCTGGGCTCATCCTGAGGCGCAGCCCCCCCGCTGGCCAGTCTAGGAAGGGCAGCACCAGCTCCTGCCTGGGCACCCACCCCCCTGCTGCCCCTGGAGGTTGGACGCCTGTGTTCCATTCTTGGCTCTGCCCCCACCAGGGCCCGGCAGCTCCAGTTCCCCACCGCAACCGCAGCGCAAGGGGGAACCCCTCCCCGCGCCTCCTGCCCCACCACACCCTGCCTGCTCTATCCCCTCCTGCAGCAGCCAGGCCAAAGCAGACAGATGGCTCAAAGGGGAGACGCCCTCCCCCCTGCCTCAGTTTCCCCCGTCAAGTGGGGCCTTCAGGGCTGAATTCATTCACGCGAGAAAAGCTCTTGGACCCTGCTCTGGCAAAGTATCGTTAACCCTCCTTGTTAAAGGGAGCACCGCCCCCCCCCAAAGCCCTCAGCCAGCCTCCCCCTCGGCTCCTCACCCCCCTCGGCTCCTCAGGGCGGTACAGAACAGAGGCCCAGCCGTTTCCCTCCGCACACACGGCTTCCCCGAGGGCCAGGTGTTCCGCCGCCCCTGGAAAGAAGGAAAATAGTCCATGGACAATCTCCCCTGGGCCTCTTCCCCCACCCAGTGCTGCTGGTCACGGCCTAATACCATGAGGTCCGTGGAGGGGCCCTACCCTCTGGTGGGAGGAAAGAACAGATCGCAGGGCAGGGAAAGGGACCCGAGGGGGTTTAATAAACATAACGGGGAGCAAACAGCCCCGAGAGCGGGGCGGGGGGGAGGGAGCTGTCCTC